GGAATGTGACGAAAGAAACGGAAGAACAGCTTCAGGGCTAACAGCACATTTTGGCTTCTGTAAGAAACTTGCTTGCTTGGGGCAGGAAGAACCGGGTTCCTGATTGGCCGATTCAAAATTAAACAGCTCCCTCCTGCCTTGGGAACTTCCCGTCCTGTGAAGGGTATAAAGGCCTCCCCCGACTGTTAGTCGGGGTCTCACTCGCTCCTCTCCGAGTGGGACCATGTCCGGACAGTTTGTGTAAGCTTCTATACTTGTACTTGTATAAATCCTTTGCTAATCTTTCTGCTTGGTGTTGGTGATTCTCGGGTGTCCTTGGTTGGGACATGGGTCGCATTTACCGGGGAACTTGACTCCAGGCGTGTGGCTCCCGGACTGCAACACTACTGTTGTAAAATAGCTCATTAGTACTTTCACCCAACTTCCTGGTGGGTAGGCAACAGGAAAAAGGTTTTCAGGAAATGTCTAATCATCCTTCCACAAAACCGTCTTTCTGTGAATGTCGCTCAGTTATTTTGGAGTTGAAATTCTCTTTTGCCACATATGACTCCACTCCATTTTTCAGCCATTTGACTGTGTTCTTCAGGCTTTTGACCTTTTAGCTGTATGATTTCCCTGTCATATGAGACAGCTCCTAATTTTTTGGAAGCAACTGGAATATATTGTGTTGACACTCGTAAGCTAAAAGCAAAATGGAATTTTTATGTAATGCTGGATGCTGTCACAAGAATAGGGCAGGATAGATCTTCAAGAGATTTCTCTGTCTTTGCTCCCCCTGGACCAGCCCCTCGATGGTGGCTCTGTCTATTGGACAGTAACAAGCATGCAGGCTGGGCTGTGGCCCTGCCAGAGTTTGAGTCTCAGCCTGTCTGTCGTTGAGCTGTGTGCCCTCCAGCAAGTTGCTTAATGCTCCGTGTCTTCATATTCCCTTCGGTAAAATGAGGATAATAGTGCTTTCTCATAGGTAGGATTAAATGAGACAATAATTGGAAAGGGCTGAGCACAGCGTCTGACACATGTAAGCCCTCCATCAGCGTGTTAGCTCTTATATTTACACACGCGACCGGTCTGAAATTGCCACCCTGGTGGGTGGATTCCCTCCCCCTTCTCCTAGTCAGTAAACCCGTGGATTTACCAGTAAAATATCTTTATTTACTTCGCAGGTGCTCACTGTCTGTTTCCCCTGCTCACATTTTTTTTTTCCTCGTGGCCTGTCCTGGTTCCAAAGAGGAAGACACCACAACACAAATCACTCTTCACAGCAAGACTTTTAAACAGTTTTAAGGAGAAGTCATGAATGTACATGATGGAATTCTTTCTAGAGTGAAGGACTTAAGTATGTTTAAGTCTAAATTGATTCCCCTCCTCATAGGAAACTGCTGTCTGGTGCAGAGATTCAGAAAACTTAGCCAATATACGGCATAAACGCGTATACTTGTTTATCTCACTGCATTCTTGTCCATTGTACTTAACACATTTGGAGGTGTGTTAAGTACACAGTTCCACCTCATTCTTTATGAATGCTGCGGCATATCCCATTGTGTGAATATATGTAGTTTATTTAACTAGTCCCCTGCAGATGGACATTTGGATGCCCCTCTCCCTACTTTTTTTGGTGTTTCGTAAACAGTGCTGGCATGAACATCCCTGTACAAATATCTCACTATACTGTTTTGAGTAGATCTATACAGCAAATTCCTGACAGTGCAGTTGTAAAGCCAGCCTTTCTGTGCCCGCACGGTTCGTTTCAACATTGTCCCCAGGCACAGGGTGTGATGTCTAGGGCAGAAGACCAAAGCAGCTCTGCCTTTGAAGGTGCTTATGCTCTTTAGTTATTTACTTCTGCCAATGTTTGTCCAGTATACACTATGTGCTGGGTGCTTTTCAAAGCACATTATGTGTACCAACTCACTTAATTACCCAGTAATCCTATGAGCTGCGTACAGTTTATCCCCATTTTACAAAAGAAGAGTATGAGGCCCAGAAATGCCTGTTGTCTTTGCTTAGTTCATGGAGTGAGCCCGAGACAGAGCTAGGAATCAAACCCAGGCTTCTGTGGCTCTAGGGTCTCTATAGACCCTCAGTCTTGGGAGACAAATTAAATTGAAACCATTTCAAGAGACGTGATGAATATTCTGAGAGGGAAACTACAAGGGTGCCCCAGAAGCATCTAGCAAGGGTACTACATCGAATCTCGCATCAGAGTCGGTGCCCTGGAGGAGGTGGCCTTTGACCTGAAGCTCGTCAGAGGATCTCATGAGTTCAGTGTTTCAGCACCAGCCACAAAGCCTGAATTCAGAGAGAGCAAATGCAATGAACCAAGAGAAGGTCGGAACGTTGGTCCTAGAGATGGACAAGCAGGGAACCATTTCTTGATTCCTGTAGAACCAATGCCATCCAGTAGGACTTTCTTCAGTAATGGAAATGTTCAGTGTTCTGAGCTGTCCAACATGGCAGCCACTGGCCACATGTGATTTTTGTGACTGAGAAACTGGATTTTATGTTTAATAGTGTAAACGAATTTAGCCTTAAATAGTCTTGTGTGTCTGATGGCTGCCATATTTTCCAGGGCAGTTCTTTTTTTTTAAACATCTTTATCGGACTATAATTGCTTTACATTGTTGTGCTGGTTGCTGCTGTATAACAAAGTGAATCAACTCTACGTACACATATGTCCCCATATCCCCTCCCTCTTGCGTCTCCCTCCCACCCTCCCTATCCCACCCCTCTAGATGGTCACAAAGCACCGAGCTGATCTCCCTGTGCTATGCGGCTGCTTCCCACTAGCTAGCTGTTTTACGTTTGGTAGTGTATATATGTCCATGCCACTCTCTCACTGCGTCCCAGCTTACCCTTCCCCCTCCCCGTGTCCTCAAGTACATTCTCTGCATCGGCGTCTTTATTCCTGTCCTGCCCCTAGGTTCTTCAGAACTTTTTAGATTCCATATATGTGCTAGCATACAGTATTTGTTTTTCTCTTTCTGACTTATTTCACTCTGTATGACAGTCTCTAGGTCCATCCACCTCACTACAAATAACTCAATTTCATTTCTTTTTATGGCTGTGTAATGTTTCATTGTATATATGTGCCACATCTTCTTTATGCATTCATCTGTCGATGGACACATAGGTTGCTTCCATAGGTTGCCCATTGTAAATAGTGCTGCCATGAACATTGTGGGCCATGACTCTTTGTGAATTATGGTTTTCTCAGGGTATATGCCCAGTAGTGGGATTGCTGTGTCATATGGTAGTTCTATTTTTAGTTTTTCAAGGAACCTCCATACTGTTCTCCATAGTGGCTGTATCAATTTACATTCCCACCAACAGTGCAAGAGGGTTCCCTTTTCTCCCCCCTCTCCCCAGCATTTATTGTTTGTAGATTTTT